TATAATATATATATATATATAAGGAGGAAGGGTTTATTTATTATTTAGGGTTTGTATAGATTACAAACCCTAAACCCTAATATATATATAAATAAACCCTAATAGTATCTTATATAATAATAATTAATATAGAGGGAAAAGAAAGGGTTTATTATTATTAGGGTTTGTATAGATTTGCAAACCCTAATATATAAACCCTAAACCCTAATTATATTTAATAATAATAACGTATAAACCCTCAACAGTATTACACACCGACTTTATTTTTTCTTTATAAACCTCTTTCTTTTATTACCCTCTCCTTATTGAGGGGTCGAGGGTTTAGGGTTTTGAGGGTTTAGGGTTTAGAGGGTTTAGGGTTTAGACTCGAGGGTCTAGGTTCTAGGGTTTAGGGTTTATGCTCTATTGCTTAGACTCTCCTCTTCTTGGATCTAGGGTTTAGAGCCTGGTGTTTAGGGTTTAGGGTTGGATACGTAGACCGTAACTCTTATGAATAAGGGTTTAGGGTTTAGGGTTTAGGGTTTGGGGTTTAGTAGTAAATAGTGTTGGTGTATTCATTCCTCTTATTCCTCCCCTTGAGGGTTTATAAGTATATAAATAATAAGAGGGAGAGTATAATTAGGAGAGAGGAGGTAAATAAAATAAATAAAAAGAATAAATAAAAAGAAAAAAAGGACAAAAGATTAAATATAACGTCAATAAAAGAAATGCCCAATCATACCGAGCTGCCTATACACCCGAAGAGTTTGCTGCATTTGCTGCATAAATGCTGCAGCACGTTTTGCTGCTATTTGTTGATTATTTATGTTTATTTATGCTTATTTTTATTTAATTAATTATACTTTTAATTAATATTAATATTTAATTCCTTATTTATGCAGCAGCAGCAATTTTTTCTACTAAATCTGTTTTTTCCCACGAAGATTGCTGCTGTTGCTGCTGCCGCTGTTTATCTGCTGCAGCAACAGCAGCAAATTGCTGTTTTTTTTATTTCTTTATTTTCTCTTGGACTAAAAAAGAATAATAAATAAAAAAAGGGTAATTTAATGGAGAAAAAAGGGATAAAAAGAGCAGCAGCACAACCCCCCTACACACGATCTTTTTCTTCTTCCTCTAGCAGCTGCTGCGCGGCTGCTGCAGCTGCAGCAGCTGCAGCAGCAGCTGCAGCAGCAGCTGCAGCAACAGCAGCAAACGTAATGGAGTGTGTAAGTGGTTAATAGGAAGAAAAGAAGTATATAAATATAATAAAAAGATAAAAGATTAATTTGCTGCATCTAAGAAGACGAGGGAGGAGCGTCGCTACACCTGACTCGAAGCCAAGTGCTGCTGCTGCTGCTGCTGCTGCTGCTGCTGTACTAGTAAGTATATGTATGGTATACTAGGCGCAGCAGCAGCAGCAACAGCAGCAGCAGCAGCAGCACAAGAGAGCAGATAAGAAACTATTTTGTATATAATTATTTTTATTAATTGTTTATAATATAATAATAAATTGTTTTCTTTTGCTGCAGCAGCAGATTGCTGCTAATGCTGCAGCAGAGGTCCCCTTGTTGGCAGCGACGATCCTTCTTCTTGCCTCAACAGGAGCAGCAGCAGCAGCAGCAGCAGCAGCTCGGGGCGCTTCTGCTGCTGCTGCTGCTGCTGCTGCTGCATCCAAGATAAGATCCCTGTCTCTCTTTCTTAATTATATGAGGCTTCTTAGGCATTAAACCCTAGCAGCAGCAATTAGTCTCCGCAGCAGCAGCAGCACGAGCAGCAGCAGGAGCAGCACAGCAACGGGAGAAGCAGCAGCAGCAGCAACGGGAGCAGCAGCAGCAGCAACGGGAGCAGCAGCTGCTGCTGCAGGAGGCTGTGGTGCGGTGTACATACACCGCAGCTAAGATTATCTTTTTATTCATTTTGCTGCTTATTGATTATAACTCATTGTATATCTTTGCTGCTGCAGCTCACCTCTTGCGGCGTTGCAGCATTCGTAGCAGCAGCAGCAGCTGCAGCAGCAGCAGCAGCAGCACCTCTCGCTGCTGCTGCTGCTGCCACTTCTAGTAGTACGAAGACTGCTGCTGCTTGTATATAAATACAGCAGCAGACTCTCCCCTAGTAGGAGCAGCAGCAGCAGCAGCAACAGCGGCAGCAGCTGCTGCTGCTGCTCCTGGTACGCCTGCACCCGTTGCAGAAGGATGAGCAGCAACTGCAGCAGAGAGCAGCGAGGCAACTCGTCCCTACGCCTCCTCCCTTCAGCAGCAGCAGCAGCAGCAGCAGCAGCGGCAGCGGAGGAGGAGGAGGCAGCAACATCAGTTACGGCAGCGACAACAACAACAACAACAACAGCAGCAGCAACAACAGCAACAGCAACAGCAGATGCAACAGCTGCAGCAGCAGCAACAGCAACAGCAGCAGCAGCAGCAGCAGCAGATGCGACAGAGTACGCAGCAGGAGGCCCTTGGGGGCCCCAATACTCCTGCTGCTCTATCAGCAAAATTAACACCAATGAGTGCGCAGCAGCTAACGCAGCAGCATTTGCTGCAGCAGCAAGCGCTGCAGCAGCAGCTGCTGCTACAGAGACAGCAGCAGCAGCAGCAGCTTATCGTGCAGCAGCATCATCAGAGACTGCAGCAGCAGCATGCGCTGCATAGGCAGCAGCAGCTAATGTTAGCACAAGCACAAGGCCACCCACAGGCTGCTGCGCTGCTGGCGCTGCAGCAGCAGCAGCAGCAGCAGCAAGCCGTCTCGACAGCAGCAGCATTTGCTGCTGCTAGTCTAGGGGGTGGTAATGGTGCAGCAGCAGCAGCTGCTGCAGCTGCTGCAGCACGTGCTCGTGCTGCTGTTGATACTGCTATGCAGCAGCAGCTGCAGGAGCAGCTCGTGCGACTGCAGCAGCAGCGCGACCATCAATTCCTAGAGCAGCAGCAGCAGCAAATGCTGCAGCAGCATCGGCAGCAGCAGCACGCACAAACAGCAGATGCTTGGCGCCTATTCGCAGGCGCAGGAGGGAGAGCCGCAGGTAATTCTTGCGTTGCTGCTGTTGCTGCTGTTGTTGCTGCTGCTGTTGCTGCTGCTGTTGCTGCTGCTGTTGCTGCTGCTGTTGCTGCTGCTGTTGCTGCTGCTGTTGCTGCTGTGGCATCGCAGCGGCTAGCGTTGTCAATTGTACTGTCACTTGTCTGCGTGTGTCTGCCTGTGCTGTTGTTGCTGTTGCTGCTGTTGGTGGTGCTACTGCTGCTACTGCTGCTGCTGCTGCTGTGTGTGTATGTGTGTCGTAATGTCTTCCTGCTGCTGCTGCTGCCTGATGTTTGTGTGCAGCCCTCAGCTTTGCGGCGCATCAGCAGACAGCAGCTGCGCAGCAGCAGCAAGCAGCTGCAGCAGCAGCAGCTGCTGCTGCTATGGGCGATGGTACAGCAGCAAAGGTTCCTGGACCAGCAGCAACAACAGCAGCAGCAACAGCAGCAGCAGCAGCTGCTGCATCTGTCCCAATGGATGTTACTTCCGTACCGGGTGCTGCACCTGCGGAGGTTCAAGACACAGCAGCAGCAGCTGCAGCAGCAGCTGCTGCAGCAGCAGCAGCAGCAGCAGCAACAGGAGCACCAGGAGGTGTTCGGGATCCGGTGTCAGCATGTGCTGCTTCTGTTGCTCCTCCAACAGCAGCAGCAGCAGCAGCACCAATAGCAGCAGGACCAGCAGCAGGAGTAATCGGTCCCGCTGCAACTCCTGCAGCAGCAGCAGCAGGAGCAGGAGCAGCACAACGAGTACCACCAGCAACAGCAGCAACAAATGCAGCTATGGCAGCAGCAGCTGCAACTGCTGCACCTCCAGTAGGACCTGCAGTTGCTGCTGGTCCTACAGCAGCACCAACAGCACCAGGAGGAGCAGCACCAGCAGCACCGGGTGCAGCAGCAGCAGCAGCAGCAGCAGCAGCAACAGCAGCAGCACCGGGTCTAGGACTTGCAGCATGTGGAGACACAACAGCAGCTCGCAGCAGCAGCAGCAGCACCGCCACTACCACAACAACCCCAACAACAACAACAACAACAACAACAACAACAACAAGCAACAACAACAACAACAACAACAACAACAGCAGCAGCAGCAGCAGTGCAGCAGCACGTAGCCGCAGCAGCCGCAGCACAGCAGCAAAAAGTGGTGGTGTATGCTCTCGTCGTGTAGGTCGTCCTGTACGTCGTGGTCAAGGAGGTAACAGCAGCAGCAGCAGCAGCAGCAGCAATACAACAACAACAACAACAACAACAACAACAGGAACAACAACAACAGGAACAAATAATAATAATAATAGTACAGTAGGTGGTGGTGGTGGTGTATCATCAGTAGCAGCACGTGATGCGGAAGCAGCAGCAGCAGCAGCAGCAGCAGCAGGAGCTGGGATCGATAATAAGGGATCGTCTCCGGAGACGATCCCACAGCAACCCCGTCGTATACCTGCAGATGCCTTTCGTGTACCCACCGTACCTGATGAGGATTATTTCTCTACTGTACCTGGATGTTATTATCATTTCGGTATGTTATTCCTGCTGCTGCTGTCTTGCTGCTGCTGCTGCTGTATTGCTGCTGCTGCTGCTGCTGTATTGCTGCTGTCTTGCTGTTGCTGTTGCTGTTGTTATTGTTGTTACCCCTACCCTTATAGGTATTTATATGAATCCTTATAATATACCCAATAAATAAATAAATAAATAAATAGATAAATATAAATAAATAAATAAATAAATAATATAAATAAATAAATATAAATATATATATATATATATATATATATATATGTATAGGAAAAAGAGAATGGCGTGTAGTATATAGAGATCCACAGAATGAATCAAAAAGAAGACAAAAAACACATTCAATTAAAAAGTATGGATTCTATGCCGCAAGGTCTAAGGCAGAGGATCTAAGAATTGAGCTAGAAAAAATTAATGGATGGTAATTATTTATTTATTTATTTATTTATTTATTTATTTATTTATTTATTTATTTATTTATTTATTTATTTGCTGATGCTGATGGTGATGCTGATGATGGTGCTGCTGTTGATTTGCTGCTGTTGCTGCTGATGGTGCTGCTGATGGTTCTGCTGCTGTTGCTGTTGCTGCTGATGATGATGGTGATGATGATGGTGGTGATGATGATGATGATGATGGTGATGATGATGGTGATGATGATGGTGATGGTGATGCTGTTGTTGCTGTTGTTGCTGTTGCTGTTGTTGCTGTTGTTGTTGCTGTTGTTGCTGTTGCTGATGCTGATGCTGATGATAGGGGTAGGGATGGGGGAGATAGGGGATTGTTGTTGTTATTGTTGTTGTTTGTTGTATTTAGTTGTTATTATTATGGTGGTAATGATGGGGATTTTATTTATTTATTTATAATTGTTCTTGTGCTGTTGCTGCTGTTGCTGCTGCTGCTGCTGCTGCTGCTGCTGCTGCTGTAGGCCGTTGACTGTACCACCAGCAAAGAAGACAGATACAGCAGCAACACGTTTTATTAACTTTGATAAGACAGACAAGGATACAACAACAGCAGCAGCAGCAACAGCAGCAGCAGCAGCAACAGCAGCAGCAAATAATAATAATAATAATAATTCTCCTGATGCAGAAGGAGATGATGATAGGACACCATCTGCTGCAGCAACTGCAGCAACAGCAGCAGGAAATTCAGGTGGATCCGCTCGCTCCTCTTCACGTAGGGCTAATAAGAATCGACAGCAGCAGCAGCAGCAACAACAACAGCAGCAGCAACAACAACAACAACAGCAACAACAAGAAACTGATGCTGCTCATACACCTGCAAATGCGTCTGCAGCCCAACAGGCAACACCTGCTGCTACGGGTGCTCCAACTGCAGCAACTGCAGCAACTGCAGCAACTGCAGCAGTAACAGCAAATTCCCCAAGAGGTGCAGCAAGTGCAAGGAGGGGTACGTGGGAAGCTAAGGGAATAACTAGGACAAAACAAGAAACAGCAGCAGCAACTGCTGCTGCTGCTGCTGGTAGTGGTGGTAGTACTGGAGATTTCCCTGCTGCAGCAGACGCAGCAGATGGATCACGAGCTGCTGCTTCCGTCAGCACAAGAAGGAAGCGGCGCATGCAGCAGCAGCAACAGCAACAACAACAGCAACAGCAGCAACAGCAACAACAGCAGCAGGTTTCATCCGTTGTTGATCACACAATGAATGATCCAACTGCTGCTGCTGCAGATCCTGCTGGGGCAATGGCTAATGCTGCTGCTGCTGCTGCTGCTGCTGCAGCTGCAGCAGCAGCAGCAGCACAGACGCTAAGAACTGGGCCTGAGGGAGACCTCCAAGGGATCTCCTTTTTCTCGGGTCCTGCAGAGTTGTTGCCTACAGCAGCAGCAGAAGCACTGCAGCAGCAGCAGCAGCAGGAGGGTTCTCTAGTAGGTGTCGACGGCAGCGGCAGCAGCACCACCACCAACGCAGATGCAGCAGCAGCAGCTGCAGCAGCAGCAGCAGCAGCAGCAGCAACAGGGAAACAAAGGGAAGAAGATAGTTTTTTATTAGATGGATTAGCTGCTGCAACATTAGCAGCAGATGGTCCATTAACCCCTCGCTGGGGTCTGCTGCAGTCCTGTGACAGCGACGAGGTGCAGCAGCAGCAGCAACAGCAACAGCAGCAGCAGCAGCAGCGGGAAGGATCCTTCAGGCCAGGAGAAAGATCATTAGGTTGTGTTGCATCTCCTTCTTGTTTTTTCTCTAAATCTGGTGGCCGCAGCAGCAATACCAGCAACAACAGCAGCAGCAGCAACACATGCTGCAGCAGCAGCAGCAGCACCAATGGCAGCAGCAGCAGCAAAGGAGATGCTGCTTCCCATTACCTGCTGTCTCCTCCTGCTTCCTTATTTGCTGCTGCTTCCCCCCTTAGCAGTTTGCTGCCTAGCTTAGGTGGTCGTCGCAGCGCAACAGATGGTGCTGCTGCTGCTGCAGCAGGAGAGGGTCCATCTGCTGCTGCTGCTGCTGCAGCAGCAGCAGCAGCAGGACTTGAATGGCAGCAAGGACAGACATCAGGACTACACGAAGCCTTATTAAACTTTGTCTATTTACCTTCTTGTCCTCCTACCCCCTTGCTGTCCTCTGCTCCTCTCTCCTTGCTGCTGGATGCTGTTGAGCCGCAGCAGCAGCAGCAAGAGGGTCCTCCTGCAGCAGCAGCAGCAGCAGGTAGTAGCAATAGCACCAACAACGCTAGCAACAGTGGTAACTGCAGAAATCCTGCTGCTGCTGCTGCTGCTGCTGCGCAACGAGCTGCTGTTATGTCTCCTGCTGCAGCTGCTGCAGGAGGGGGATCAATATTAAAGGCTGCTTCTGCTTCTACTGCAGCAGCAGCAGCAGCAGCAGCAGCTGCTGCTGCTGCTGCAGGTAGAGGATTGGATGAGGAAGGTGTGCTGAGGCTAACAAGGAGCAGCAGCAACAGCAGCACGCAGCAGCTTCCTGCTGCACTGTCTGCGTTGCTGTCTCCTGCTGCTAGCTTTGATAGAGAAGAGACAGCAGCAGAGAGACAGAGAGATGCAGCAGCAGCAGCAGGAGCAGCAGCAGATGAGTTATTACTCCGTAGCAGCAGCAGCGGTTGCAGCAGCAGCAGCAGCAGACAGCAACAACATTGTGATGGTGCTGGTAGTGTAGCTGTGTCTCCAATATGTATGAGCAGCAGCAGCAGCAACAGCAGCAACAGCAGCAACAGCAGCAACAACAGCAGCATAAGTGGTACAGTTGTACCGCGTGTCTCGGGTGTACAAAACAGCAGCAGCAACAGCAGCAGCAAATGCAGCAGCAGCAGCAACAACAACAACAACAGCAAAGGATTATCTACTCCCCTATGGTTATCCCTCATGAATGGTAATACTATAGGGTGGGGGGGCCCCTCCTCTATAAGGAGGGGCCCCTCCCCGTCCCCTTTGCTGCAGCTGTCCTCCTTTGATTTGCTGCTGTCTCCTCCGTGTCTCCTTAAGACAAGAGGAGCAGCAGAGGATGCTGCTGTTGGTCTATTAGCTCCCTTGACGCCACCGCAGCAGCAGGCACAGGAAGCAGCAGCAGGGAGCAGTATAAGCAGCAGCAGCAGCAGCAGCAGCAACAGCAGCAGCAGCAGCAGCAGCAACTGGGGTGCAGCACTCGAGCTCGCCTCCCCCTTCCAGCATATTAATGAGGAGGCGTTGCTGCCATTGAGTAGCCGCAGCAGCCATCCATGGGATAAGGGATCTAATTTATCTCTTGCTGCTGCTGCTGCTGCTGCAGCAGCAGCAGCAGCAGCTAAAGATCTACCACCACACAGCGGAACTAATAATACCTGCGGTAATGCAGCAGCAACAGGAACAGCAGCAGCAGCAACAGCAGCAACAGGAGCAGCAGGTCAACAACAATCTCCTGCAGCAGCAGCAGCAGGCCAGAATGAGGCCAATAGTGCTGCAGCAGCTGCAGCAGCAGCAGCAGCAGCTGCTGCTGCTGCTGCAGAAGCAGATGGTGCCAATACTATATTAAGTAGGATTAGGCGGCATCTGCTGCCTATAGAAGCAAAAGAATCAACAGCTTGCTGCGGCTTAACACAACTGCAGCAGCAGCAGCAAGAGCAGCAGCAGCAGCAGCAACTGCAGCAGCAGCAGCTAAATGATGTGAGGAATTGCTTCTAATCGTGTATAGCAGCAAAACAAAGCTCGGGCTTTGCGCAGCCCCACAACATACATAGCTGCTGCTGCTGCTGCTGCTGCTGCATGTATGCATGCATGCATGCAGTTATGGGGAATGTTTGGGGCTGCTGCTGCTGCTAAACAAAGTGTTGGGGTGTATGCATGCGTATGTATGAGCAGCAGCGGGTTGCATGCAGTAGCAGCAGCCCCATCCCCACAACCGCATTAACAGCAGCAGCAACAACATAAGCAGTAGCAGCAGCAGCAGCAGCAGCAGCAGCAGCAAAGAGCTGCTGCTGATGCATGCATGCAGTTAAGGGGAGCGCTGAGTAGCAGCGGTTTATTTGTTGCCTCTCTGCTGTCTAGACACCCACGAGGGGTCAATAAACAATTATTATTCTTTATATACACACAGAATATATGCTGTCTTGTTCCCTGCTGCTGCTGCTGCTGCAGCAGCAACAGCAATAGCAGCAATAGCAGTAGCAGAACCAGTAGCAGCAGCAGTAGTAGTAGTAGTAGCAGCAGGAATAGCTATCCCATAGCTATCTGTCTCTTAGTGTTTAGGGTTTAGGGTTTAGGGTTTATAGTCTCCCTAGTGTTATGAGGATTAGGGTTTAGGGTTTAGGGTTTATTTCTATCTGCTGCCGAGGGTTTAGGGTTTATAGACAATTAATACAGTAAATTGTATCATATTGGGGATCTAATTGAATAAAAGAAGGAAATAATAGATAAATTAAATAAATAAATGAATAATTAATATATAAATTAATAAATAAAATAAATAAAAAGAAAAAAGGAAGAAAAAGGGCTACTCGCTATACACACAGTGTATGCATACACCGCAAGGAGGGAGCGACGGTGTTTATCTATTGGGAAGAAATCCTTAGGAAATATTCCTAATAAATAAAATATTTAATTAAATTAAATAAATATAAATATAAATAAATATAAATAAATACAAATAAATTAAATTAAGTAAATAAATAAGAAGAATGAGGATAAATATAGTGTTCCTGTCCTGCTGCTGCTGCTGGTGAGGTGCCTGTACACCCGGGAGGTGTAGGAGGAAAAGAGAGGCAAATTGGTGCTATAGCGGCCACTTTTTTGCCCTTTTTTCTTCTTTTTTATTTATTTATTTATTAATATTATAATTATATCCAATGAGAGGCCGTAATTTAAATAAAAAAGTAAATAATTTATGTATTGTTGCTGCAGGACGATCACGAGCTGCTGCTGCTGCTGTTGCTGCTGCTCGTGTGCAGGTCACTTAATCACTATAAGAGATATATTTATATTAAATTTCTTCTTTTTCTTCTTTTTTTCTTTATTTATATAAATTAAATATAAAATATCAATTAAATAGAGCTATTTAAG